CAGCAGGAGATAATTACACACTTGTTTTTGTAACCCTGAAAGGAAGTCTCCCACTGTGATCAGGTCCTGCAATTTTTCATTTGTCAAAGTGACAGCATCAATTTTGTGAGAAGACCTAATCTTCACTCATTATTGGAGAAGTGCATATTCACTGTGCTCCACAGCCTCCCCGATCAGCAAGTATGGTCTCTGTCTGTCTGACTGTCTGTGCATCTCCCAGGAAACCTCCAGTGCCATCTGAGAATTCACAATGGAGAGAAGCCGTATCCCTGCACCGAGTGCAACCAGACTTTCTCTCAGAAACCAGAACTTCGCCGGCACATGTTTGCCCACACTGGGGGAAGTTTCCTCTGTAGCTACTGTGGAAAATCGTTGAGGGACCCGCACAGCTTGAAGTCCCACGAGAGACTGCACACTGGAGAAAGGCCCCATCGCTGCACTATCTGTGGAAAAGGTTGGAATATAAAATCAGAATTTAAATCCAAATATAAATGTGATAAAGAAATCAGGGAAGGAAACTGGCCGGGGACAAGTCCTCTAATCTCTCTTTGCTAACAAATCCTACAAGGAATTATGCCCCTGTTTCCTCTCAGTTTGGAATGTCCACCTCCCCTCTGCACAACAGGCCTAATCTGTAGCAGAGTACAGAGACCTGCTCCTACCACAGAGTCAGAAAGGTTGAAAATTGTACATATATTGGCTTTAAATGTGAATTAACCCACTCGTGGAAGTAGCAAAACAAACTGCAAATGCAACATTGACAAAGGTAAGTAGAATATTGATTCTCTGTTTAGCAGAGGTAGAAAGGTTTGCATATAGATAAAAGCAAAATGCAACAAAGTGCCATAGACAGAGACCTAGCAAATGAAAAATGTCATACATGCAGCATGTGACTTAAAAGTCAAGCCTCTGTATTTACAGTTTATTTAAAGCATCACTCAAATGCAACACATATCACATTTCAACTTTACTTTTCCTTACAGAGCATTTTAAAGCACCTCAATCTAAAAAGTTGAAACAGAACAAAATAAGAAAAAAGTATAAGGACCAAGGTAATATAAACTAATATTTACAAATATATACAAAGCACCCATTGTAAGTAAATGCAGAGTGTACAGTATACAGTGCTGTACATTAGTGCAAATCCGGTCGATATCTTACAGTGCCGGGAAGATGCTGCTGCCCCAGCAGCAAAGAAAATCACATTGGCCACAACAGACTGGTACAAGATTTGCAACATCTTGCTTCACATATTACAGGACCTGAGCTTCCTCAGAAAGTAGAGTCTGCTCTGTCTCTTCCTGTAAACAGCCTATGTATATTTTCTTGGCCGACATTTAATGCACCAACTTTGTTAATGGGTCATAGAAAGAGGAGGCGGTTATAAACTGCAGCTGAAATAAAACGGTGAAAAGTGAGTTGATGGGGAAAAAGCAGGAAGGGACATGTCAGCCAATTCCCCTCCAACCATGTTTATCTTACTCTGTGAGCTGCAGATGTTATGTCGTGCCTCCGTGATTAGAAAGCACAAACTGCTGATCACGAAGTTGTCAACATTTACATTTTAGGAAGTGTTAAACATCAAAAATGTGTCTGCTGAGTTCAGTGGTTTCATTATTCGTGGACTCAAACTGTTTTTACACAGTTATAAGTGCTATTTCGTCCCTTGCGACTGCCACGAATGGCTTTTTTGTGAGCTGTAGTTACAGAAGTAAATATTGATATCTTTTTCAATTTCTGTCATTCACAGTTGTATCAAGATATTTTTATATAGCACAATACATGTACTGAGGGGGCTTCCAAGAGAGTAAGGCTGGCAGCAGTCTGTAATTTTTTTTTTTTTACTGTCAACAAATTACATTCAAGGACTAAAACCAACTAGACAGCACTCAGAGTGCAACCTCTGCCAAGGACAACTCAGTTTCCCTGTAATGCCATTACAACAGAAAGCAATACTCCTGTGATAGTTTGACCCTCATAATATGATTGCTTGACTATGAAGACCTACTGCTGGCATTTGGTAATGCCCCTGATATCATTCTTAGCTTGAAAGTTATTCAAGAAAAATAGACCTGACAGACATTCAAAGCAGTGAAGAAGTGAAGTGAAGAAGTCACATTTCTGTAAGTCTGTTCTGCTTGTGATTCTTCACATCCTCTGCTCTCTCTTTGCTCAGCTGTGTGTGTGTGTGTGTGTGTCTGTGTCTGTGAGCAAAGGGCAGCCCTCCCTCCTCTAAACAGAGGCCGATACAGTGGAAAAGCAAAGCAGGCTGGGCCATGTTAACACATGAGGTTATGCAGGGTGGCATCACTTCTGGGGTCAAGATAATCCTGACTGGCTCCCGCCCAGCTGTCTCCACATAAAGTAGATCTCTCCACAGCTGTGGGTTGTCTCCTCGGTGGGCTCCTTCAGTCCCTGTCTCGCACATAAGTGTGTACTGAGTGACAGCACCCGGATCTCATTGACGGTGAACAGACAACTGTCAGTGGCCCAGGGATTTGTCTCAATATGTGCTCGGAGTTCTCAGCAGTGCAGCTGTGTACTTTGGCCACAAGGGGGTTCACATACACTCAGCAGCCCTTCCAGCACTCACAATGGTGAAATATCTTTTAAAAAATTCCTGTAACCAAATTATGATACAGATCAGCACCAAAATCTATTCCATTTTCCATGGGCCATACCCTGCCTCTCCAAAAAATTGTTTTCAAAATCAATTCAGTCCTTTTTGAGTTAGGCTATTAAAAATCAAGAAAACTAACACATGCCAGCAAAGTCATTGCCCCTGGCCTTGGCGAAAATAATAAAATAAGTTTAAAAAATAGAAGAAAGACAGAAACTGTAGGTGGAGAAATTATTTAAAAATAGTTAAAAACTTCAGAGAATTTAAGAATTAACTATTCTGGTTCATAAATGTTTTCTCTGTATTAAAGTAAAACTCAAATATCAAACTTGAAGTAAATAGCTCTTTTATTGTGGTGGTTTTCTAATGTTCATGTTCTCAAATGTTAATATAACTGTTAATTGATGGCAGAAAATATAGGATAATGTTTATTGTGTGGTGGAGTTTTACAGCTCAGATTTGTTTTTTCCCCTCAGGCTACACCTTGGCCACCAAACTGAGGAGACACATAAAGTCGTCTCACCTGATGGAGAAGCCATACAGCTGCCACTGCGGCGCTTCCTACACCGTGAGACAAAGTCTGCTGAGGCACCAAGCTCAACACAGGACAGAGGGAGGAACTCAGAAGGAGGTGGAGGAGGAGGGAAGACATGGAGAGGAGATGAAAAGCAGGAAGAAAGAGGTTGTGCGAAAGTTGGTGGCTTTAAGCTCCGGCCACCCAAAACCAGTCAGAGGCCGACCCAAGAAGAACTCGCTTCCCCAAGAATCAGGAGAGAAAAATGGAGGGGGAATGAAGCAGAGAAGAGGACAAGACAGAGAGGACAAAAATGAGGTGAGGCAGGTAGGGAGGAAGATTCAAGAGGATGAGACCTCAATGGGAGGAGATGGAGAGGTTTCTAGTAACATCCAACACGCCGTTGTGTACGTCCATACGGACAACCTGTCCACGCCAAGCTCCACCCCTCTGCTCCTCACCTCGGAGAGCTCACTGCCTACAGGGATGGGGCAGGAGCTGGTGGAGGTAGTGATAACTGAGGGAACAGAGCAGTGCATTGTGGTCCACGGGCAGCAGACGGTAGGAGAGCTGCTGATCGTACAGGAGGAGGGGAGTGGACTCTGCTCTGTGGCTCAGACTGTTGAGATAAACACAGTCTAGCACAAAATTCAAAGTTTGTCAAATCATTATCTGGCAGTTTCTATCTGACAGATGTTTCAGTGGACCCTGACTACAAGGAATCATGTCGCACTGCTACAGTAAATATTATTTCATCAGTGTATCTCATTATAAAGCTTTTTGTTTTAAACCCACCTTCCATCACCCTACCTCATACACATTTTCTTCGGGTTAATAATTTATTTTTTTTTGCATTTTCCAGATTCCGTTTGAACAACCGCTACAGAGCAGATGTGAGCTCAGACGTAATTGGCTATTGGGTACACATGTAGTATGGGAGAGAAATAGCAGTAGCAGCAGTTGGAACAAGAGAAGTGAACCTCCTGCCCTGTTCTCACATTCCACCATGTTTTGTTTCATTTTGGTTTGTGTGTGTGTGTGTGTAAACATGTCCCAGAGCCTCTTCCGTGATTTTCTTTCATGTTGAACATGAGTGCACTGCCTGATTGTGAGTAGCCAACACCCAAAGCTGACATTTATTGTTGAGGTGTAAGATGAAACAAAACATTGTGCTGTCAGAGACCACTGAAGTTGCAATGAAAGATCTGAACTTGACATCGCGACTTCTACATTTAACCAGCTATGCCCTGGAGTTAAAAGAAACTAAATAAAAATACATCTCAAAATACATTGTGCTCTATGTGTGTCTTCAGCCACATTTGAAGGACCTATACTCCCACACAGCTGTTTTCACTTAGCCTGCCTGTTTAGACCTTTGCTCAGGTTGGAGGTGGTCACCATGTGCTAAATTTGTCCCAGCCTAACAGGCGAAGTGAAGGTAAAATGAAACTGAGGATCAATCCAACACAGTCTGAAGTGAAATTGTCCTTTCTTTCATTATCTGTGTTTGACTGTGTATTAATGTGTTGTATATGTAAATTCCTTTAAAGTACAGACTGATGTGCTTCACAGAGTGATGAAAAATGACTCATTCATTCCACACCACATACCGATACTTGATGTATTCACTGATTTGATTTTTTTTTTTTTTTTTTTTGGTCACAGCAGAACAAACTGTAAACAGAACATGATATGTTATCACCTTATAAAATTGTTAATTAACATTCTCCATGTAATATTTCTGTAACGGTAAAGCTAGCGTTGGTTTTGTTGGTCCCTTGGTCCCTGTTTTCTTGAGCAAAATATCATGGGTTGTTTCCTCTGCTTTCAGTAACATCACTATATGGACACAAGACTGACAATGTAAAGAAGGAGCCGAATTTTGGAGGCAGCCCGACTGTCACAGAGAGGTTCGACATCAGGCTGGTTCTCTGTCCGGTCATGTTAGTTAATAATCAAAAGGCTTAGTCATGCTGTTGAAAATAGAGACAAACGTCAGCCGCTGGTGAGCCTCAGGATGTTGTCTATAAAAGACCCTCCATATGACCAAATTTCAAAACCAGCTGGACATCTGGTGCATACAGAGAAGTAGAAATGCATATTTCCCCACTCCTAAAAGATTTATTTAGTCTGCATAGGAAAGGTGTGGCAAAATATAAATATATGGCCATAAGTAAGTAGACAGGTCTTTACACATACTTTTGTGTACAGTATGTTTAGGTCCAAGGTTTCTTTGTTCCAGTGAAGGGACATTTTACAATGATAATACATTGTTATTAGAGACAATTGTGTGCTTCCAGCTTTGTGGCAACACTTTCACTGTCTCTTTCCTGGCACAACATGACAATGTCCCCATGTTGCAAATTCAATCAAATTGCAAAATTCAATCAAATGACTACAGAGACTTAAAATGAGTAAAAATAGATGCAGAACAGCCACAGAGATACAAAATGAGTACAATGAAGCACAATGTGAGTACAGAGAGAGACACAAGACAAAAATAGACATGCTGCTTACCAAAATGACAAAGAGACAAGACTATTACAAAGAGTCTTTTGAGCTACCTTTCAGAATAACATTAGTATAGAAATTACAGTATAATCATAAGACTTTGGAAAATTCACAAACTACCCAGCAATTCAACTTAAATACTTATAAGCTTGTTAAAACTAGCCCCCTCGTTTACCAGCTGCAGCATTAAATCTAATGAACACTAGTGCATCTGTAATTATCAAATCATATAATAACAATGGTAAATGTGCCATTCTGCATAATGAATATTTTTACTTTTAGCACTTTAAATATGTTTCCATGCTAATACTTTTGTACTTTTACTTAAGTAATATTTTAAGTGCAGGACTTTTACTTAGGTAAGGGATTTGAGTACTTCTTTCACCACTGACTCTGTATTAGAGGCAGGGGCCCTTGGCCTCCTAATCCGCCCATCCCTCTGAGATGAGCTGGAACACTGGGCAAGACCTGGTCCTGTTTGGATGGTTGAACAGAGTCAGAAATCTGATCCACTCCCTTTGCAACATCCATCAAATAATGGCCACAGAGTAATAGTGAAATTTTCAGTGTTGAATTTGTAGCACTGGTTAAGTCCTTGGTATCTTGTTCAGATCTGAGTTACAAATTTTGGTGTGAGGCTTTGACCTGACCTTTTTTTTTTTAAAATTATTTAACTTATTTATTTTAGTTTATTTTATTGAATTTGAGCATTTTTGGTGCTTGATTTTTTTTTTTTTTTTTTACTTGATCCCTAAATAAATAAATAAACAAACAAATAGAAATTGACTAGTAAAATGTTTAGGAGGGGGATATAAACCTGATAAATTCAGTTTTTTTGTTTTTGTTTTTCAAAATAAAGTATTTCAGTTTTATACATACAGTTCACAATTATTCGGTGGCTTTTAACATTTAAATCTTCATGGCCATTGTTTGCTTCCACAGAACTACATATTTCCAAAACAACAATCTGACATCCCTACCCACCTCATGCCATGATTGGTCAGCTGTGTGGAGGTGAGAACGTAGGCAGTTGTTGCTCCAGTTCTATCTTCACTCATGCACAACTAGTTGGGATTTCTAACAAAAGTTGACCAGAAGACAGGAGTGCTCTTTCATGCTTGTGGGGGATTAAAAGTTTTGCCACGTATGAATAGGCTAAGCCATTGATGGCTTTAAAGGTGAACATTGAAAATTTTAAATCAATCCTAAAACATATAGGGAGTAAAGTAAAGTAAAGAGTTATATGTTCATGCCTGGGAGTATTGATTAAAAAGTGAGCAGCAGAATTCTGCTGGAGATGAGAAAGAGAAGATTGGTTGGCAGTGCATTACAGTAGTCTAATCTTGAACTGATAAAACCATGAATTACCTTTTCAAGGTTCTTGTGAGTAACCTTAGCGCATAGACAAAGCTGAAAAAACTTATTTTTACAGTAGAGTTGATGTTTATCAAGTTTTAAATCACTTTCCAAGATCACCCCCAAATTCTTTACAATCTTTCAAATTGAAAGGCTAGACATCTGACATTAGGCTCAAAGCTAGTGGGCATGCTTGAGGTGCAGAGCATAAACACACACAAATATCTCCCAACATCTCGCAGTTCTTTGATTTTAACTTTGCTGTTTTGTATTGTATTGTCCTTTAAGTCGTTGTTGTTCTGTAAGGTGCCCATGGGTGATTTTGAAAGGCTCCAACAAATTAGTATTATTATGGACAATCATTTATGCATATACAGTATATCTGGCATTTGACTGAAGCCATTTGGAACAGCTATACATACTAACACATCATACAAACTAGCTTATAAACACTTCAGCTTTAATGTTCTGAGATAAAGTCTTTAACAACCACATATGGGTGTGATGCTTGTGTGTCCACATACTTTTAGCAGTTAACTACTGGAATAAGAAACATCTTCTAAGATGCTGTTATATCACCAGTTGTGTTTTGTCCAAGTCATCTTGTGTTATCGGTGAGTCAACAATAGGCACATGATATGAGTGGAAACTGAGTTAGGGAAAATTGTGGTTGTGGTTGGTGCCTTAAAATGTCCCCAGATCATTCCACTCACAGCTGTTCTTTGTGTGTTAATGTTCTTTTTTATCCTTCCATTTTTTTGGGATTGCACCCAACAAATAAAGTTACATCGGTGGTCAGACCTCTGATAAATGTATTGTTTAGAGCTTCAGGGTCTCACAGTTTGTGCCAAGATGGCTTATGTTACCAAGAAGTGCTGACCTCCTCTCTAAAGTTTCTCAAAATGTGCTGAATCATATGTTGCACTTCTTAGTGAAAAACGTTTTGAATAGAAGAAAAAGGTAAAGGCGGCCTGTGTTTCCCAGTCTTTGTGGTTGATATTCTGTTACTGAGCTTCTGTATTAGTTGATATTCAATGACAGTGTTCCTGAAATGTTTTAATTTGCTTTGCTCCCTCTGCAGGACAAGTTATCCCAGGCTGGCTTTTTGGACGTTAAAAAGGGGGCTTTAAATAGGGCAACCCACTAATAGTCGAATAGTTGAGTCATTAGTCCCAAGACTTGTCAGTCGATTGAGACTCTTCTCTAGTCGAGCCTTTGTTTTTTATTTTCTTATATTTTATTTTTTGCCAGCCAGTGTGCAGTACAATAGAAGGTAGACCCAGCCTGGTAGTTTGCTGTCTTCTTCTCCTCATTTTGGTGTGCCAAATAGCAATTTGCTTAAAGCTTCCACCTGTGGTCAGGGGGAGAGGGAACACCCACTTTAATGGTGACACTGTCCAATACATGGATTTACATTAAGGTGGGATCTATTTAACAAACTGCAGAACAAGGAGAAAAGGACAGCAAGTCCCACTAGGACAAGTCACATAAGTCACATAAAGGTGAGACTTGTACTTTATTAGTGTTAAACGATAATGCTAATGAAGTTCCATTATTTGGCTCACACATGAACACAGGGATCACTAAACCACATAACATTAATTACAATTATAGGCAGACCCAGTATTATTAGCCATGCACCATGGCAGCAGCAATAAACAACAATGATCATGTGGTGCTCACAAAGTGAACACAAACTGTAATGATAGCATGCCGCCATATTTATCATGTAGGTTATTTTACTGCAAATGGCATTGTGGGATCTTCTGGCTCAAAGTACATTAAAATGAAAATGTACTATCTTATACAGTCAAAACACAAAATAAATGAAAAGTGAAGTGTAGCCTACCTTAAATAGCCAATACAATGCTGACCCGCTGCAAAACCTGAGTAAAGGAATAGGTCTGTAATTTGCACATGCCACAGTGCGCATACCAACATCGGCATTTTAGTGCCCACTCACAGCTACCAACAGCTAACAGTAGCCAGCGGGTGCTACGGGGGTGCCCATTCACACAAGTGGCTGTGGCTGCATTTGGAGCTCGAGCCTACTGCACAAAAAAGTAACAGGAACATATTTCTGAGCATTTAAAAATCAATAAAGACAGCTGCATAATGATGCAAGATTTAAGTTGTGACCAATTTAAATTGACGTCATAACATCAGGCTGCTGTTACTGAGTCTGATGTGTGCCAGCTTGCACTGTAAACAATTTCTTTTATTTATAAATTCCTCACTGAATTTTTTTTCCTGCTAATTTTTGCTAGCTTCCTAGTCCTATATGGATGGATGCATGTTGCAGAAACAGTCAGTAAATGGCTGTGTTTTGCACTTAAACAGAGATAGGTAAACAAACCAGACTGCAGTAGGGCCTATCTCCTAGGCTGTATATGAATAGTCCAATAGCAGCACTGAAGAGCCGACTCACAAAATCCTTAGTTGGGTATAGCCCTAGATTTAAAATGTATTGCACATTTTATAGCCTTCTCAGAAGTTTTCACTACTTGCCCATCTTGTTGTTTTACTGTGGCCACCTGTTTAGCTCTTTTCTCTGCATCTCTCTGTCTCCCTTTCTCCCACCCTGTCTTCTTGCCTCACTTTCTCTTTCTCCCTCCATCAGTCAGAGTAAACCCACACGGTTCAGGGACGTAACCCTTAGCCTTGCTCTTCAGGCTATTAAGTGACAAATAGTAAATGAAAAGTGTATATTTTTTCCAGACGGGTTTGGAGCTCCAGTTTTAAGTAGTTGGCACAGAGCTGTCAAACAGGATTCAGGCTGTTTTCTTGAATCACTGCAGCAGTTCAGTAAAGCTTCAGAGTGATTTAGCAGTGCACTGTCTGGTGCTACAGTCTCCCACTGTAATGCATCACCACAGACGGGGGTTTCTTCATCAGAAACGTTTTTGACTGTAGCTGAACACAAGAGGTGTTAACGCAAAATGATCCCTTTTTCATTTGCTACAACATTGTCATTGTTAGTCATATTACTGTCACTGGGCTTTTACTTCAAGCTATCTGTTCTTTTCAGTCTCATTCAGTTTTCTTTTATTCAGTACAATGAGCTCATGGTGTTTGTGTAGATCACGCTAATGTTATTTAATAATCACATTTCACTCTGCACATAATACCATGTAATTCTAGTATGGGGATAAATGCTGTATACATACAGTCATGCTGTAGTTGGTTTGGGAGTTTCTTTCTACAGTGAATAACAAATATGCAAATGAGAAAAGTAACTTGATGCAGTATATGTATTTTTGAGAGGGAATTATTGCTCTTTATCCTCCTTCAGCTCACTGTTTCTTTTGACTTTCATAAATCTCAGCACCCCACTGCAGACTAAACAGCGCCATACAGTTGTAAGCAACCAGCTAACCAACCAACAGATGACTGTCCCACACTGCCATCCACAGTCATGCCACTAGGACCGTGAGGAAATTAAGAAATACTGTCAGTTAATCCAATATGAAAAGAGGCTTGGTTACATGCTCGCAATGAGTAATGAGCTTTAGCTGAGTGTTTAGCTGGTGGATACACTGGAGCACTTAGCAGTTAAAGAATCAGATTTGTCCTTGGTAGAGACCATAAACAGAGCAAAAAGACAGAAGTGATTGAACTTAAATTAATCAGGGGGACACAAGCACAACTCCAGATGAATGGTGCCGTTGCGCCGTAACAGCTGGATATATAAATAAATAAATGTTTGCTATTAGGTTCACCATAACAATTCATAATGTGATAGTCAACGCTGTGTTCACAACTTGTTTCCACTGGCTATCAGCTATTGCATATTTAACTTTGTTTAGGAGATGTGGACAGGTTGTGTCAAAAATGATGCAACTCTGCCTTTAGCATCATTACTAACCAGATACTGTATGGTCCTGTACACGTGCTGTTAGCAGACATGGCACAGTGTTTTGTGGAGACTGTTTCAGTCTCATGACTGGCAGCTGATGTGACCTGAAATCACTGCACAATTCACAATTCTCAGACTTGTTTGTCTGAAAAGGTTTCATGGAACACTGATTTCATTTAGACTTTGCCTTCATCCTTAGACATATTAGTGAGCCCTTTATTGTCACCTCACACACCTTAATGCAGTTGGTGGTGGCCTGTGAAATTTCTGGCACCATTCCCTAAAGCCCCAAATGCTCTTTAGGTTGAACAAATGCCTCCAAACATGTCAGGTATAGGTCAGCTTGCTGATGTTTGTCATTCTCTGCAGCGATAGCTAGTGTCACCACACTGTGTAGCTGTACGGTATACCCCTGATCTACTACTGTGTATGGCTACAGGCTGTAGCACTGTGGGATTGCCTTCCCACCTCAATTCATGTCACATAGGGTTTTGCGATGTCTGACTTGAGAGGTTCTCTGCCTCCGTAGCCAATTTAACAGTCACGTGAGTGTCGAAGCACACACTGATCTGGGCTGCATTCACATTTAGGAGAAATGTAATCATGCTGCAGGCGGATTTTGAAGAAGGGTCTGCCTACATGTCATCGTTCAGCACCAGGCAGCTAAATTAAGAGCATCTGCGAATGATTAAATAAAGGATTTCTCACTCTCTCTCCACTCATCTCAGAGTAAATGGAACTGATTGATGATCACTCAAATGGTGACACATCTAGAGCTAATTATTCTGGGTCTTTTAAAAGCTTTCTTTTCATTTTATCTGCTTTCCTACCATTGCCACTGTAAGCACACATGTCCTTTCTGTTTTTTCTTCTCCTCTCCTCCCCTTTGCTGTCATCTTTTCCTTTCCTCTTCACTTTCTTTCTTCGCCTCTCTTCACCTCACTCCTGTAAATCTCCTTTCCTTTTTCTCTTTGCTTCTTGTTCCCCATGTTTGCTTTGTCCCCTTTACTTATTATTCATTTGTCCCATGTCTTCTTTTTCTTTTCTTCACCTCCCTTTTCTTCTGTCGGTTTCCTGTCATTTTCTTATCTTTCCTGCCTTGCATCTTTTCCATTCTCATTTACTCTCCTCTTCTCTCCTTCAGTTTTCTCTCATCTTTTTTCTTCCTCCACCTCTTCTCTTCACTTCCCATCCTTATTACCTCTAATCTTCTCCTTTGTCCTCTGCTCTGTCTTCTCCTGTTTTCTTTTTCATCTTCTTCTCACCCATGTATAGCTTCTCCTTCTCATCCTCCCCCTCTTCTCCTTCATATCCATGTCTCCTCAGTAATTTGTTACTCTTGTCTCCTCTCCTATCGCCCTATCCCCTCTTCTCACTATGTATACTCCCCTCGTTTCTTTTCTTCCTCCCGGTCTCTCACAGTGCCCTTCTCTCCTGTCTAATACTTCTCTCTCATTTAATTATACTTATCCTCTCGTCTTTTTCTCTTCCATTCGTTACCCCCACTCACTCTTGTACTCTTTCTGATCTACTCCCCTGACTTTGCTTTCTTGTCCCATCTCTCCTTTTCTCTCCTGTCAGCCTTTTCATTTGCTCTCCCCTCTTTTTCTCTCCTCTCATCATCCGTGTACCTCCTACTCCTTCTCTCTCTCTTCCTCCCACTCTGTCCCACTCCTGTCTAAAACCTTCCTCTCAACTCTCATTTCATATCTCCTCTCTTATTGTTCCTTTTTTCCCTTTTCTGTTCTCTCTTCCTTTCTCTCCTGCCATTTTTCCTTTCCTTTCTTCTTTCGTATACTCTCCTCTGGCTTTTGTTGTGTTTTCCTTTCCTCTGTCATCTCTTCTCTTACTTTTCTTCTTCTCAGCTCCCCTCTCCATCTTATCCTCTTTCGTTCCCTTTCCTTTCCTTTTCATTAATCTTTTCTCTCTCTCCTCCTTTAATTTCATGCCCCGTCGTCTCTCTCTTCTCCTCTTTTCATATTTATTTCCTGTCATCATCTTTCTTTTCTTTGCCTCTCCTCTCCTTTCTTCATTTTTTCTCTTGTGTTCATTTCCCTCTCCTATTTCTTTTAATTTCTTCTCCTACCCTCTCTGAATCCCTGCACTGCTCATTTCTCAACCTCTTCTCTCCTACTGTATCTTCTTTTTGCTTGTCCTTTCCTTCTCATTCCATCTCCTTCTGGTTCACTTTTCTCCTCCCATCTCCTTTCCTTTTCCTTTCTTCTTCTCTCTCCTCTCCTCTTCTTCTGTTTTGTTCCCCACCTTCCTAACATCTCTCACTTCATCCACTTCTCCTCCATTCTCTCTTTTTCTTTACTTCCTTGTCTATGCTCTTTCAAATCCAGCTCGTCCTCTTCTCCTTCAAACATCTATTCCTCGCTCCCTCTCCTCTCCACACATCTCTTACTCTTTTCTTTCATCCTTCCTCTCTGTTAGTCTCTCCTCCTCCTCCTCCTCCTCCTCTCTATTCCAGCAGCAGACCCATTGAACAGCAGCGGCGGCAGCAGCAGCAGTGTCACTCAGCACAGCGATGACATGTATGAAAGTGAGGACCTCTGTTTTTCATTTTCTTGCCTCTTTGTTTTCCCTTTGTTTTTGCATCACCTCCTGCTTTGGCTTTTCTTCTCTCTTTTGTATGTCTTCTTTCCATTCCGTCTGTTTTTTCTCATCATTCTCCTGTACTTTTCAGATCTCTTTTCTGCCACATTGATCTTTTTTGGAGTGCAGCAATATGAGGGTACCATGCATTCCAAATAGGGCTTCTGTCCTCTTTTCCCGATTCTCGATTTTTTTCTTTTCTTGTTTTGCAGCTCAGTGGACATAGGCAGGCTAGTCTTGCTGATGCAATTCAGTATGTCAACATCTGGGCGCAGATGTGTTTGAGTGGATATTTTAACACCTTTTTTAAAATCATGCAAATCCTTCTTTCTGTGGGAGAATGTGTTGTGACAGGAACACTGAGAAGAAGCAGTATGTTTTGGGGTATAATATAAAATACTGAGCATAGCTGTAGTGCTCTAAGGACATGCATGTAACTTGTATTTGGTGAGAGAGCTAATTTGTTTTAAAAATCTAATGTTTTGTCAATTGTGGGGATATTATTGGACGGTTTTCTTCTGGACCCAAACAAAACAGCTTTTGAATATTTTGGCTTTTCTCTCATTTCTTTCATTTTTGTACTTTATTTTTTCACTGGCTGCCATGAACAGTTAATTTTGCGGTGAGTGTGCCGAAGGTTAAAAAGAATGGGGAACATAACATCAGCCATTTAACCAGGATGGACTTACTGGATGCATTCACTCCTGTACTGGCCACAATGCCAAGCTCTTTACCTCCAAACACTTCTTTGGAGAATATCAGCCAGGCGCCCTCTTTGTCATCAAGATCTCCTCCTCTACTTCCTCACTCACAGGTGGCATCAGTGTTCATTGTACTGGTGGTTACAGTCATCATTCTGGGGACTCTGGTGGGTAATGTTTTGGTTGTGGTGGCCGTGTTCACCAGCCGAGCCCTGAGGGCACCTCAGAATCTCTTCCTGGTGTCTCTGGCGTCAGCAGACATACTGGTGGCGACGTTGGTCATCCCCTTCTCGTTGGCTAATGAGGTGAGGAAACGCTTTCATTTCTTTTTTTCAAATATTTTTACCTCAAATACAGCTTGTATTCCCCTGCAGTCTGTATCTGGTTATAAAAAACATGTTAATAAAGCTGCAAATGCACATAGAAGATGCTGCAACTAGATTGGCCAGAATTACAGTGCACAGTTCAGTACATACCATGATTCATTTTCACTAAGGGAGAAGTTTTTTTTTTAAACAAACATAAATACAATATATAAAAAAATAAAATTGACCAAAAATTTGGATTTTGCCACAAACTACTAATAAGTGCTCCAATAACCAGAGAAAGCTGTTTAAATGATGGAGGAAGCAGTGCTTGTACTACGCTGTGCTTTTCTTACAGCAGTGATATTAACTACACGTGGTGCCATTTCAAAACTGAGGTGTTGCCAAATACATACCCCATTACCACCACTGACTGTATTACTACTGAACAAACCATAAACAAATAAGACAGTCGTATTTACATGTCTTTGCCTCTGTTGCAGTATGAAAGTAGAGTATATGCTTTCTTTTAACAATCCCACAATGCAACGCTTCGTGTTTTATCAGATGGGAAATTATTGTCACGTGGTTCTACATCTTAGTGATGACGCAAAATGCAGATAATTATTCAATATCTGAACTCTCAATTTTTTGTTCACTATTGAGCGAACTACTTAGTTTACATTATACAGGGAGTAGTGAATCAGTGTGTTTATTTTGCTCCAGTCCACCTTAATATTGTAGTGTTGGGGGGGACCACTTGGTGGGATGCCCCATAATGCCTGAGGCAGTGTGTATATAGTTATGGGGGGTTTTGGTAGTGTAGTTCAGTGTGCAATGTTGTGTTGTGTTTGGTGTGCTATGCTGTTGTGTATGTGAATAAAAGAGAAAGTACAAGCTCTGGTCTCCTGAGCTTTCCTTTACCCAGCCAACGTTACAATATATTTATGTAGAAATGTGTATTTGAAAAAAATGTTCTGCACACAAAACAAGCCCTCAGTACACATGTGCCAGACTGAAGGTCCTGGACTGAAATGGTTTGGTACGAATACATTTACCTTCACATCTCTAACCACAATGCATCTGGCGGTAGAGGCTGGAGGCTCACATTATGATGAGCTCTCAGCCTGTTCTTAAAAAGAAGAAGAAGAAAGGAAAAAGGGTATTAAGGAAAAAAGAAATGCTGAAAAGTTCTCAGCCATACTAAAAGCTCTGTTTGGCTGTAATCATCATTGTTTAAAAACATAGCCTATGCTGTGAAGTAGATAGCCCATCAGTAAACCAAAGTTTTGGACAAATTGAAATTTTGACTTGATTATGGTACTGCTAGATGAGGAATGACCAAATACCACAAATACATAAATGTCTGAACCAAATTTTGTGCAGTCTATCCAGCTGTTGTTGAGACATTTTACTCAAAACCATAGATGTCAAAAATGTCACTGTGGCACTAAAGGATTAGTCAAGGGAGCAGCAAGATTCATCCTCTGGGCACCATGAATGTCAGTACAATGTCAGTAGAAACCATCTAATAGATCTTAAAATCTTTCAGTCTGAACCCAAGTGTGGTTCATCCAACAAACTGAAAGGTCAGCTACTGAAGTTCTTGTGAGTATTCAGTTACTTTCCCAAGGTGGTTAGCCCTAGTGCTAATCAGACCAGATAAAAAGCTGAATTCAGCTTCTCTTGTTGTGTTAAACAAAATACAAACAGTGTATAGCTCATATATATGTTTAGCTGTAGCTGTATTGTTGTTAATACTGAGCTTTATTTTAATGTCATCTATAGAAAAAATGGTGGTTGTGGATTAATAAGATCCACCAAATATTTACCACAAGCCATATACTTTTAATATAATTCACACTGAAGCTGGATAAAGTTGCATGCAGTCACATGATGTGAGCTTAAAACTTTTATCACCTGCAGCCACTTTTTGTAACCAAAATGCAACATTTTCATGCTTTTAATAAGATGACAACAATATGGCATAAGACACAGCAGGCTCTGCAGGTTGAGATAACAAATAGTATTTACTGACATATTTACTTTAGAGCCCAATCAATATCAGCTGATGTTACACAATAATTTAGACCAGGGTTCAAACTGCAAATTGAATAATAATAACCTTTACTGGCATTACAGGAATTTGTTTCCAGTACAGAACTCAACCAATGGCTCTAACCATTGGGGGTTCAGTGTCTTGTCCAAAGACACTTTGATTGCAGGCACTGAGATTCAAACCGTCAACCTTCCAGTTGGGAGACAACTGTTCTACCCAATGCACCACTGTTGCCTCAGCAAACATATCGTTGTGAGCAGGATTCGAACCTGCGTGGGGAACCCCCATTGGATTTCGAATCCAACGCCTTAACCTCTCGGCCATCACAACTGTTGTAGTTGTTAAGATAAGTAAGACAGTTTTTTTATGACCAGTGCTGAAGTTGGTCAGTCTAAACTCTAAAAGGTGCAAGTTACATTTTTTTTTCTTTACTGTTAGTTGTAGTCAGATAATACAAAATCCAGATTTGTTTTCAACAATATACAATTATAACATTCCTTGTGAAAATCCCACATGGGATTGCTTTGTTTACAGCAAGTTCAGGTTTCAGGTAATAAACTGAACTGAGTGGCATTCCTTGCTGGCATGTTGTATCACATATACACTGCCAGTTTGATCTTTTTTTTTTTTTTTTTAGCTTGAACTACTTTTTCTAAGTAGCTTTAGCTAACAGGAGTTCTCCATAGGGTAGCTTTGCTGTAGTTCAGCTCCTTTCAGTGTGAAATAATTAGTAGTTTGCAAAGCTAGGCTCTCAAAGTACATTCCCCAACATTGCCTGTGAATCGTCACAGCCTTGATGCCTTGTTTGGTGTGTGCATGTTCATGTGCTCTTGTTCGCAGGCAGCAGTCTTGTCAGGAGGTGGCCAATTGATGATTGGGAGCACCCGGTCAGTGCTCTCAAGCCCATAAAGCCTCGTCTACCCATGGTTCACCTTGCCTGTCTCCACACATGCATCATGTTCTGTGTGGTTTGAGTTAACTTTTTGGTTTTGTTTTGCACCTACACCATGCACTTCACATACTGTATGCATTCATTCATCTCTGTTACTGATACTGACTTCATACCTCATTCTTGACTGGTATTATTTAATTTAACAAATATTCTTTAAATGTTTCCACTCCGGCAGTGTACCTCCCTCCTTTTCGTTGTGACCTCTGAGCAGGGTCGTAACCGAGTGCATACCCAACATTAAACTAATTTGGATGTTTCATTTAGCATTGAGAAGACACAGTTCTTTAATGCAGAGAATGGACAAGTATATTTGCTGTGAAGTAGGTTTTTATAATAAACTTAGTGGGATGTATTTTTCTGGAATAGGCAGAGGCAAACACAAGTCAAGTATAAACTTCATCATCATTTGAGTTATGAGTAGATGGAGTCAGCGTTGGCTTTAGCAATGGTCAGTCAATCCACATCCTCTCATCCCCTTTAAGAGCACCACAGGAAACCTGACTTTGGTTGATGTCACTGAAGTTATGACATGGAAATATATGAGACAGAGAAATATGTAAGATTCTTTCCCAGTGTCTTTCCTATCAATTATGTCCTCCGCTCCTAAATTGTGGTGACAAAAAATTGTAGAAGTATTGCAATATTCACTAAGTAGTCTATGAGTTACCAGCTTTTGTGCATGACAGAACTCTGTTCCTGTAACTAGCAGCAATTATATAGTGTCATTTACTCATAACCACAGCCAGTGTGTAAAATACACACGAGGGTCTCAGACCTTCTGATTGACAGCTAGGGCCTCCTGAAAATCTCATAATGAAATTTCAGGGTGGATTTTTGAAACGTGCCTAGTTATTTTCACATTATTGATTTATTTGCATATAACTGTATAAATATTTAATGCTTTAAAAATAACTTTTAACTCCTAACTGTAACATGATTAATCAGGACATCACCAGGGTATTTGTTATTTACCATGGCTCATGAGCTGCTGTGTTATTTTGTGCACCTATGTGTAATTATTTTAGCTGGTTTTGGTGTCAGATCTGTGATTCTCAAAGCTGGAGATTACTTCCTTAGCTCTGTGCTGTGTCTCAACCGTTACTAAGTAGATTAACATGAAGTGTGGTACAGACATTTGTGGTCCACAGGAGAATGAATCCTGTCAACTTTGGCGGTCCTGACCTCAGGTGCCACCAGAACGTTGACATGCAGATTCAAGGGAAAGGTCTCAACGACTACTGGATGGATTGCCATGACATTAAATGTTAGTTTTGCCCTCAGGATGAGTCCTGATGATTGTAATGATCCTCTAGCCTTTCATTTGACATTGTCATCAGATCTAACTTTTTATCTGTCAGATACTTTGGTTTATAACTACATGAACACTAATAACATGTCAGCTTCAGATGTACTTTGTGCTTAGTTGTAATTAGCAAATGTTAGCATGCTGACACAATTAACTAAAATTGTGAACAAAGAAAACATTATACCTGGTTAACATCTGCATGTTAGCATTCTGATATTAACATGTAGCACTACGTGCAGTCTCACAGACTCATTAACATGTCTGTAGACCCATAAGGTAGACTGATAAATTGTCCGTGTCCATATATTGACTGATATCAACTCATTGCAGACATAATGGTAGATTATCAGTGTATATGTCATCTGATAAGTAACAGGAAATGCTATGTCAGTAGTCCTGCCAAAGATACTGAGGTTGTTTAGAAATGGTTTCTCAATTAGACTACATAATTTGTAACCGAATTTAAGGGATCCTTATAAACAACTGCTGTTCATGTTGTGTTTTCATGAAAAAAAGCAATATCCAGCAAGACTTTGATGATTTTTATACTGTCAAATATGGAAATCAGTAACAGCCTCAGCAGTCCAAAATTAGACAGACTATACCAAACACAAGAATTAAAGAAGCTTCAACCAGATAATGCTTTATAAATGATAAAGATTAATCACTGATCAAAACCGTTGAAACTGTGGTAGATTAAGGTTTGGTTAATCAATCAATTGTTTCAGTGGTAATCAAAACTTCTATTCAGTTTAAGGACAATTGCTCCAATATTTCCATCTTGGTCTTTTGCTGAATTGAGAAATAAAAGAATGAAATAAGAATGAATTTCCTCAGAAAGGCTAGTGCAGCATAATCCAAATGTTTTGTAGCCAAGCAGCTGCTCTGTAGCTGAACAAGTTTTGCATTTACTTTTTTGTCACCCGAACTGGCACTGTGAAAAATACGGGTAGTATTTTTCAAGAGGCTGAAATGCAGCAATAGGTGCCAACTCACTGTGAGGTTTTCTACAACCTAAATACAATTGCTGCTGACACAGCAGTAATAAGATATTTAATGAAATTTATTTTCAGGTGGAATAATTCTTTTGCCACCTAACTCAAGGCCTGCCTGACTGATTTGAACAGAGGGGAGAATAAAATATGAAATAGACCTAAACACCTTTTTCTGTTCTTCTGCAGGTAATTACTACTGCTTAAATGGATCGCTATCATATCTGAACTGGCTTCTCCTCTTTCCAGGTCATGGGTTACTGGTACTTTGGTTCCACCTGGTGCTCCTTCTACCTGGCTCTGGATGTCCTGTTTTGCACTTCCTCCATTGTCCACCTCTGTGCCATCAGCCTCGATCGCTACTGGTCTGTCACTAAAGCTGTCAGCTACAACCGCAAACGGACGCCTAAGCGGATTAAAGCAATGATCAGCATTGTGTGGCTCATATCTATTGTCATTTCATCCCCACCACTCCTCATGACACAGAAAGAGGAGGATTTGGAGATGGAAGGTGAGAATGACACACAGAGGCAGGAGTGTCTTCTCAATAACCAGACGTGGTACATCCTTTCCTCCTGCCTGGTGTCTTTCTTTGCCCCAGGAGTCATCATGATACTTGTTTATTGTAAAATCTACCGTGTTGCCAAGCAGCGAGCCTCCACTGTGTTTGTGGCAAAGAATGTGATGGAGCGGCAGCCATCACAGTCTGAGACCTGCTTTGTGGGCTCCACCAGGACTTACCCAAAAAAAGGAGTCAGCTGCAGTAAATCCCAGTATGAACTGGAGAGCCCACGGCCTGTGAACCGACTCAGCTCTTCCAACTTGGCCAGCAACAGCAGCAACCACAGGAGAGAGGAGCTAGATGATATTGACTTAGAGGAGAAGAGCTGTGAAGCTGAAACCAAAACATCCTCCTCATTTTCCTCATCTCTCCATTTCCCCAGGAGAGCTGGCGTGAGGGTAAAAAAAACAGAGGAAGGGAAGGATGCTGAGGGAACAACAAGCAGGTTGAAGCCTCCTCCTCTTCCTCCTCCTCCTCCCTGTGCCTCCATATCATGGGCATCTTCCGACCAGTGTTCCCACCAGTTCCTCCTCCCCTCTCCAGTGCCTCTTCGTAGCAGGCAGATGTCTATGTCCAAAAACAAAGTGGCTCAAATGAGGGAGAAGCGCTTCACTTTTGTTCTGGCAGTAGTGATGGGGGTTTTTGTCCTCTGCTGGTTTCCATTTTTCTTCACTTATAGTCTCCACGCTGTCTGCAGAGAGAACTGCACGATCCCTGACACACTCTTCAACCTGTTTTTCTGGATTGGATACTGCAACAGCTGCCTGAACCCCATCATATACACTATTTTTAACCGAGACTTCAGGAGGGCATTCAAGAAGATTTTGTTCCAGACTCATAAACAAACGTAATATGTGAATGTATATGTGTTTGTGTGTGTGCCTTCTGCTTACTCACAGAGAAACAGGCACAAACACAAATGTGTGTACACAGATTTAATTCTGTTTTCCACTGTGCTGTCATACTATTATTAAAGGGCTTGTCATACAGCTGGAGTGTTGATTTATTATTCCACTACTCAGTAATTTATTAACTATTCACTTTCTGTTCTAGCTTAAACAAGCCAGAGGAAGATTACTGTACAACACTGTTTTTTTTCCCAAGCTCTGCTTTCTTGATGCAATAACAGTTCAACATTACAACTTGGATTTTGAATGTTAATTAGAGGAAAATGGCCGCAGGGCAGTGCACTATGTCCCTGCAGTGCTCCAAGATGTCTGTGCACTGTAGCAAGAAGGTTGAGTGGAACTGCAATGTGAATATCGACACACAGAAAAAGTCCATTCAGAAAGAACTGAGAGAGCTTGACTGCACTTTGAAAAATATACATATCAAATGCATTTACATAGTTGTAAATGGCTTTCTGTGCCTTAGGGAAATTAAACATCTGTTAAAGTTTAAACTTTAATTTCATGTAAAAGCATAAAGAACAGAGATCTGAGCAAAAGTTACTAGTTTTTTCTCACAGCAGCAATGTTTTGTTGACACTGCACAGCTCGGGGGCAAAGACATTAAAAATTCATGTGCAGCTATAGCAGATGGGCTGTGCTGCTGTAAACAGAAGGAGGGAGGACAAAAGAGACAGACAGGAGTGGAAAGAAAAGAGGAAGCTTCTGAATAAATATAATCAAACGGCGGCTCATACACCGATGCATAATTATCCTCAGAAGCCTAGAATGAAATAACAGGGTGGGCCGGTGTGGGCTGAATGATTCAAAGCTCAAGTCTTTACAGTATCTGGAAAATAGTTTAAAAAAAAGCCAATGGGGCCGAAAGCTAATGCTTGATCTGACATGGAAATAAATGGGCTCAAAGCAAAAATTATTACTGATTTAATCACTCACTTCACACAGACTGCAGAATAGACTGTGTGAGAAACACTTCAGTTGCTTGTAATTTGGGCAGAGATAAAGAAAGTGATATCAGAAATGATGCTTTTATCAGTTCAAGCGCAAAGCACAGATACAGGCAAAGGGAGAGATAAGTCCAAGGCTAAAACCAATACATCATTCTGGTTGCTATGCAACAACAGCTTTGACAACAACTTTTTTACTTTTAAGTTAACAAAGCACCTCATACACACAATGTGTGACATTATATTTCCTATCCTTGTTCTGCTTTTTTTTTTCTTTTTAAATGTTAAAAAACACAAAAACATCACAAGACAATGCAGCAATAGCTTTTCCAGTACATTGTCCACCTCGAATCCAATCACAGGACACACTCATTACCGGAATGAACAAATATTAAAAGTTAGTGGAAAAGACTGGAAAAATAGTTTGAATTGCCCATTGAAGATTCCTAGCTATACTACAGTAAATAAATATTCTTTATATCCTGCATCATACTATTGTAGTCTCCTGACTTGCTGACTAATCTACATATCGGTAAGTATGTTTCCATCTTAATTTGCTTTAAAGTGTCATTAACACCAGTTTCCACCCATTTAAAAACAGAGAATATACTGTATATATTTACATATACAGTTCAATTTAGGCTTTGTCTAATTATTGCTTAATTTCTCACCACATTCACATTTTGTATCAGTCATCAGTACATAAAGTCATCTTATCTCTGATACATCCAAATTACCACTTGCTTCTGCATCTCCCAATTTAATATTTGATCCTTAAGCTGTGTAGTTTGGTCAAACTAAGTGGGGGTGTGTCTGTAATGTTTAAATGAAGATCAAACTGACAATTCCAAAACCATCTCCGGACCCCTCTAGACCACATTATCCTATTCAGTAACAACCCAGTCTTTTTTCTTCATACTAAACCAGTCACCATTTTTCAGTGATACAAATGCTAGATAAAAAATAATGATGAATAATGAAAATTCACCTTTATTTACAGGTGTTGTAAGCATTTAAAGAATGCGTTCTCAGTTTATGAAACACAACTCTTTAGTATAAATGAGAGTAATATTAACCTTTAATCATCCTTTTTATTATTTTATTTTGCCTCAGACTGTTACTGGCCCAGCCTGTGGTCCGGTAAAAGGTAAAATAAGAAAAAAAAAAGATTAATAATCAATGTTTTGATTAGTAATCAATTACACTATCATCTGTACCCATCCCTAGGCCAAATAAGATCCAAGTTGTAAAAACTGGAAGTACAGGTAAACTTGCACTAATTTTAGTATTTCATTGTTATGTCTTTAAATTTGATTGTAAAATTAACATGAAAATGTAGACAGGAGAGAATTTCAAAGTGTTTGTTTAGTTGCATTCATATCACAGAACCCAAAACAAACACATTTTCAGGTCTGAGCATCTATGTGATGAATACTAACCTTGAAAATGTCATTGCTGACGTGCTGTTTAATTGCATTCAGGAGGTTCTGGTGAGTTTCACTACTGGCAGTTGCTTGACTCATTGGTCTACAGGCAAACACACCATGCTGAGGAGTACAATGGTTCCCCCTCTGCCAGGTGGAACAATGGAGATGAGGCCCTGGACTGTGTTCAAAGGTTTATACCGGTGTGTCCCATCGAAGCAGCATGTCAACAATGCATTTCATATCGAGCCGTCACTGACTGTGTGTGTGCCAATGAGCAACAGTGAAATGAGAATGGAAATTTACTGTTTAAATAAAATGTTGGGTGGTATTTGAAATGAAGGCAGGAGTTTTGCATGCATCAAATGACAATAAAATCGCTCTTTTATAATCTGCAGGTTTAAGATGCAACATGCATTGAATAAGACTGATTTGTTCTTTCAATTCAAAAAATCTGTGACATCAAAAGAATCAACAAAACTAGACTGAACCATCTCAGTGGCCCTTTAAGGCTTCACTTCTCATACACACAACAAACAAACAAACTAATAAAACTGAAGGATGGATGAAAAATAAAAAGAACTTTGCTGTTGTTATATCCTTGAAACTTGTGAGAAGAAATTAAACATCAGTGGAAATGTTACAGTGTTACCTGAATTCTTAGGGATCTATAATCTGAGCAGTGCAGCAACAGGTTTCCCAGGGTCAGGTCATGTTGAGGTCTAAACTTCAGAACCACAGTTTCATGGTCAGACATGACTCGATTTTAGATAAAGCTGTATCCCTCCCTAAGGCATTCACGGGTAGAGCTAAATGCTACACTGGACATGTTGAACATCTATGTTTAGTGTCTTTGCATGCAACATTAACTTCTAATGAAGAAATATAAAGTACAGCTGAAACTGGTGGGAATGCCTTTAGTTCTGGATGTATTTGGTCATGAACTCCTGTAGTGGGCAAGGTGTAATCTTGACCTGCTGGTGGTGCTACGTGAACAGTCAGAGGATCACTAAAGTTATTACAGCTTATGATGTGGGAACAATTTTAATCAATCAAAGAAGAAATATTGCAATGGCTAATATTCAACATTGATATGGTACTAGATGGAAAATCAGGGGAGCACAGTTACAATTTATCCTCTGGAAACACTGAATACACAGAGTTTCAAGGCAATCCATCCAACAGTTGTTGAAATATGTGTAGTCTGGAACTAAATTGTGAAAAGTGGGTATAACTATGGATGAGCATCATTAAAACACTAAAGTATGGGGAAAATCTACTACAATGCAGGCATAAATAAAAAGTAAAATCAACACAAGACATGATGAGTTAACTGTATGGAGTTTATGGTGTATTGTTGACTGTGTACCAATTAAAATTTTATATCAGCTGACTTTTATTCTACAGTTTCTTGATTAAACTGTTAATATGGATTACTAAGTTATTCTATCATATTCTCGCTTACAAGCTAAGGAGCAAGGTCCAATGACTGAGTGAAGGTACTGCACAGTTTGCTATCATGTCAGACTTGATCTCAGGTTGCCATCATGTTCAAGCACAACACTGTGAACTGCTGCTTTTGCAGTCTAACCAAATATACAGCGAAAAATGTATCGCTAAGCTGATTCATCATTGAATATATTAGAAATGCCACAAAACTGCAGCATTTACATTGTTTAATTTAAATTTATTCATGAATACACTGTCTCTGCTCCAGACCGGCTCCCTCTGTCCCTGTGCTGGCAAAAAAAAATAAATGAAATAAATGAGGGCAAGGGTTGAAACTGTGACCTTAAAAACACCAGAGAAGTGCTTTGACCAGGGGAGAGCAGGGGGCACAAAGAATGCTAATAGAAATCCTTTGTGATTCCAGCACAACAAACTCAGACAAATGGCATGATATCTGAACAACAACGTTTGTCCCTTCCCTATCGTGCAATTCGAAGGAGCATCGGCTAAAATAACAACTCTTACACTGGCAGGTGGAATTGCAAGAACTAACGTTAACAGCAGTAACACTGATTTAACATACAGCAAGCTTTATGGGCTTTCAACAGCCATAAACATGCTGTTGCAATTATTACAAATATGAAACCATCACGGTTTCATTACATTTAGCCACAGAAACTACTTGGTTGGATTTATGAACAAAACATTTTAGAAACAAGAAGTACTTGCTTTGGTGAATTACACACATTGTACACACTAGAACTGAACACCACTTGCTTTAGGAAGGGTTCAATTCATTTGTTGTGGTTCTGCTGCCTCATTGACTGACAGCATCATTGTTTGGAACTGTTCAAAACAGTGAGACTAACAGAAGAGTGAATGGAAAGGAGATGTCAGATCTCTCCCCCAAAAAGGGAATATAATGCACAAACAGGAAGACCCACACTCCAAACTTGACACAAGGCTCACAGATTGCAGGCATAACAGGACAACAATCCTCAGTGCAATCTTGAAAATGCATCTAAACTGTGCATATACATACAGTATATTTATTTATTTATGAGTACTGTATGTTTATTTTCCTAATGCACATTCTTTTCTTTCCTTTTTGTTCTTTCAGCCTTATATTGTTTACTTGTGTATTTGCTGCTTTACAGAAGGACATGAACATGTCAATGTACCAGAGTCAAATTCCAACACACCCAGCCAGTAAAGCTGATTATGATTCTGAATCCAATACTGGAT